GCTTATAGAATTGTCTAGTATTCATTTTTCATGGTATTCATCGTACCAAAGTCATTCATTTGAAAGAAAAAAAATATTCTTTATGCGAAAGTTAGACAGAAAGGTGAAAAAAAAAACCGTACCCTCGTTTTGTTGTAGACATACATAAAGAATTATTCCAGTTTCCTAACGGTCGTAAGTTCAATCTCTAGTGGGAGCATTTCAAGACATTAGCTATCTAGAGGAACCAAATCGTCAAGTAAAAGAAAACGGTGACAATCACAACGTTTGAAACAGAGTTGACATTTCGAGTGATAAATAGCGAATTAGACCAAATATGAAAGCGTAGTGAAATTACATTTTAAAACGAGTCTCTTATTACACTGGTCACCACGATTTTTTGGTTCCAAAAAACAAAACACATTTTTTTTAGCTAATTTGTTGGTGGTGATTCCGAAAATGACCTTAGTTTTTCATGGTTAGCTACCATTTTTGCTGTACTGAAATTACTCATTTTTAGTAAAAAAAAAAAAAAAAAATTTACGATCTTTGGTATTCGCAAAATTTAGTTAATAAAGGTCGTAGAAACCCATCAATTTTCAGGTGGGCCGAGCAATTTATGTCAGCCACCTGAAATAAAGTATTTTTATAAGAAAACAAATTAAAAAAAAAAAATTATTTCTTTTCCAAAAATGAAGCATTGCTGTACAGCAAAAACGGTAACCAAGAAAAAGTAGGGTCATTAGTTAAAAAAGATGGTTAGTGTCTCGACAGCATTTCAAAAATTTTATTTTATTTTTATTTTTTTAATTTATTTATTTATTTTTTTGACCAGTGTTATTAAGGGTCTAAGTACTTATTAAAACTTTACAGTAATATGATCCTAAATGTTAGTTCTAGTCCGACTATGATTTATTATTGGTGGACACAATCTTAACAATATAGGTTACAGTGTAGATAGCATACAGGGAAACGAAACCGCAGTAACTCCTAGAGATGGTAGTAAAGGAAAGCAAGAAGAAAGGACTATCAATTGTATAAATTCAGAATGTATGGTAGTCAGCAAGAGAAACAGCACAACAGAGTAACTAGGAATTGGAGAAGCCAAAATCAAGCAGATACAAAAGTGTTTAAACAAGCGACGTAAAATGCAACACCGAAATCCAAAGGCAAATTGAAATAACCAAAAATGCCTTACAAAAGTTAAGCAAAGTATTAAGTAACAAGAAAATTTCGTTAGAAACAAAGGAAATGATAGAAATAAATTTAATTTCGTATAAAAATAATTTTCACAGTGGATAAAGGCGTTAGTTAGATCCAGTGACAGGACCCAAAGAGTGTGAGTTCAATACCTGGTTAAGGCGGTGGAGAACTTGGAGAGGGAAATTAACAGAAGATAGTTATCCATACATTAAACATGGCACGTGGAACTAGAACAGTCTATACCAGTGAGCGAAATAAAGGATTCAATTCGACATTCCAACCACCTAAAGAAACGTTGTGATAAATATGACGACAAAGATGAGGACAATAGTCCGAATAATGTAAATAGTGTACATAATACCTCATCTCAGAAATACAGACAGATACTGAAAGGCCGAAACGTTGTAATAAATATGGCGACAAAGATGAGGACAATAGTCTCAACAATGTAAATAATGTACATAATACCTCATCTCAGAAATATAGACAGATACTGAAAGGCCGAAACTTTGTAATAAATATGGCGACAAAGATGAGGACAATAGTCCCAACAATGTAAATAATGTACATAATACCTCATCTCAGAAATATAGACAGAATTTTCCCTTTGTATCATTTTTTTTTAATTTGAAATCTATTAATGCTACTTAGATCGATTTGCCTATCGTCCTGTTCCCACTCCTCCCAGTTTTTTTTTGTGTGCGTGTGTGTTTACATGAGTATAAGGTTTATCGCTTGTTTCCTATTTAGGATTAGGTTTCCGGTTCTTTTCATCCCCTTTCACTCCCACTAGCCCCTTGAGACTTAGTGGTATTATCGCCTTGCTTGGGGGGGAATCGATTTTTTAAAAAAATGGTGCTGAACTGTTATGTAATATCCAGGCTTCTTTGTGGCAGTGTATACTGGAGAATCTTTTCACTGACGACGAAGAATCTTGAGGCAAAAGAAATCTGGTTCTACAGAAGGGTGCTGAGACTACCATCGACGGCACAGATAAGAAAGAAGAAAATGGAAGAAAAATAGAATTCTAAAAATAATTTTCATTTGTATCGTTTTCTTTGAAACTTAAAATTCATTAATACCACTTAAATTTTCTGAAAGCCTTTGTAATGTAAAAACTCAAAAGTTGTATTTGGAATTCAGTAGGAGTAGACAGATTTGTCTATTGCCCGGTTCACACTCCTACCCATTTTTTTTAACCCAATTAGAAGTTTATCGCTTGTTTCCTATTTAGAACTGGGTTTCCGGTTCCTTCTATAATCTTCTCATTCTCTTTCACTCTCAGTAGCTCCTTGTGTTTTAGTGGCATTATTGCCTTGCTTGGGGTGAGTTGATTAAAAAAAAAAGGTGATGACCTCTTATATAATATCAATGCTTCTTTGTGGCAAGTGAATACTGGACTATCTCCTCACAGATGAAGAAGAAACTTGAGGAACGGAAATATGGTTCTACAGAAGGATGCTGAGAATACCATCGACAGCGCGGATAAGGAAGAAGAAAATGGAAGAAAAAGAGACTATATGCTTATACATAATGAAAAAAGAGGGCTTAGTGAATTAGACACCCACAGTGCGTATTGAAGAGTGGGGACGGACAGGTGGGCAGCGAGTGACCTACACAACGAGCTTGTGAAAATGGATAACAGAACAGGGACTAGAAGAGATGGTGAAAAAAAATCACGAAGAGCTCCAAAAGATAGGAAGTTGTGGAGAGCCATGATCGGCCACGTACTACAGAGACATGACCCATAGAAGAAGAAATCCACAAACCCTGACATTTAAAAAAAAAAATAGCCATCCCACCGTGCCCCAAAACTGGCGAGCCATATATTTTTGTCTTGATATACTTGATATGTTCGTTATTCCGTGCAACGCATCTTCCATGGGTAATGGTTAACAAGCTGGTCTTCCAGATCAATACTACTGTGTTGTTTGTACCTCGTTAGGTATAGCGGCTCGGATTGAGGAATCGGAGAGCCGAGTTCGAATTCCAGTCGAATCCATTACATTCACTTACGTGCTAATACCCTTGGGAAAAGTATGAAGCCTCTTCTTCTCCCCCCAGCTATGGGTAAATAGACCGTGTTCTATAGCCTTGGATGGCAACTGGTCTACCGCAGAAAGAAATGGCAACCTGCTGCGGGAAAAAAAAATCTGTCTGGTCAGTCATGTATCGAAAGATACATGATCGCCTAAGCGTGTAGAGATTTTCCAAGCGTAGCTTAGATGTGGCACAAGGCCGAAAGTATGGGGCACCCAGTGAGGATCGAACTCACTTTTCAGTAGTAACTGATCTAGCAAGACAAGCTTGTTAACCATTACACCACGCCGAGGTGCCCAAATCGTCTAAGCGTGTATCACGCATGGCTGATTTTATAAGACGCCTCAAGGATAGGGAAGTAATAGCTAACGAGCTAGTCAAGTTAACCATTACTAATCAGTTCGATCCTCACTGCGTGCCCCACAACTTCGGACTTGTGGCAAACTAAATAAATTACAATATGCTTGCGATTTCGTGATAGTGAGTAAACTAATAACACAAACTCTGGAGGAGCGGGTTAAATCCTTACAGGCTATAGATCGCCGATTTTAAAGCAATTTTTTTTTTTTTTTTTTTTTTCATTTTATTTATTTGAACGTCAACCCGGAGTTAGAGTCGTGTGGTACGTATTCGTAGCTTTCAGTGTACCCCTTTCTCGAAATCGAGGCTAGTCACGTTGTCCGATATTTAATCATATCTCGTCTCATTTTTTTTTTAGTTTGACGGCTGGGAATTGGGTGTTTGCATAATCGACACCTCAGGGGATATTGGCTTTATATTAAGAAAGAATTCCATCAGAGAATCGTAAGTGGTTTCTTATCCTTTTGACAGATTTCTAGTTTACGAACCAATTCTTTGATATTGGACTTTCTTTTTTTAAACGTTCCTTGTAAAAACATTTCAACTTTCTGTTTGTATTGTTTGTAAATTTGTCTTGACTACCTTTTAGTGGGCACACAATCCATGAAGAAGACATCAACTTGAATAAAACAGTTGACTAAATAGAATTGATAAACACGCACAGGGCTGATATTTAGGAGGGGGGGCGAAGAAGGAATTGAAAGAAAAACGAAGAATATCAAATAATAATTTAAATAACTTCGCCTATTCTTGTGCTAAATCCGCCTTCAATAAGCAATTAATATTTAATCTAATTACAATTAAAGGTAGATAAAGGAACAACAGTAAGTTCAATTATGGCGATCCAATTGTTCAACGCGGCCTGAGGTTTGGTTTATTTTGTTTTACGGCATATCAACCCCAATGCCCACTACATTTTTAGGATAGATTCGTATGAATAGAATATGTATTCTTTGGTTTAGATTGGTTTGGTTTATTTTGTTTTACAGCATATCAACCTCAATGGGTTATTTAATACCGACAACATTTTTTATTGCTGGTAATATTTTGTTTTGTCAAAAATCTGTTTCTGGTACAATTTTTCCTTCAAAATTGTACTGCTGATAATAGTTTTAAAAAAAAGTATTGCTGGTAATAGTTAACTATTTGCCCATAGCTGGGACCATAACAGGTGATACCAACCCCGGGTTAGAGTGGACCTGGGAACACCAGTAATTAAGAGATGGTTCCACGCTCCTCAAAACCTGCTGATCAGAGGCCTTGCTGCTGGACGTAGTTTATCGTCTTACCCAAATTATTTTAATGAAATTGCAACATTATTTTAAGTCGTTGTCTACCTCCAGGACTGGTAATGCCAGGAGTCAAGCCAGTTTATTTATTTATTTTAACTATTATTAGGGTGTTAATTTCCGTGTACTATGTATTTTCCCACTTTCTCTCTCGCGTTTTTCTGTGTTTATCCATTTGGTCAACTGCTTAATTCAAATGGCTGTCTGTCTCCAGGACTGTGCACCCAGTAACAGGTAGTCAAGCCCAAACTTTTTCGACAGCGCAATATATATATATATATATATATATATATATAAGTTTAATAATTTCAAAGTCGAAAAATCACTATAGCTATTAATTTTTAATATCATTTCTTTTGAAAATTAATCTACAGTGTGGTCCAAAAGTCTTGTCACCCCATACCAAACCGTAATGAGAATAATAGAACAAATAATACAGTAATAAAAAAGCACGTGGACTGGATTCAGTTTATTCACTTTCATTGATGCTGTCACACACCGAGAAGGTCTGTATGAACACCATCATTTTCGTGGCAGCCGTCTGTAATAGAAAATGATATTAAGTGGAAGTGACAAGACTTTCGGAGCATCCTGTGGATTCATAGATGAAATTACAAAACATCTTTATAGGTAATCAAATGAAAGGATGATAAAAAGTGAGGGATCAGTTTTGGATTGTTCTTTAGTATTAGACACATCCCCCATTTCTTGGCCACGATACAGGGTGGTCCGAAAGTCTTGTCACCCCTTACCAAAAATTAATGAGAACAAGTAATAGTCATACAAAAAGCACACGTAGCGGATTCAGTTTCTTCATTTTCATTGGCGTTGTCACAGATTGGGAAAGTGTGTATGAATAACGTGTTTCGTGGCACAAAGTGCTACGGCGTCATGTCTAGTAGGATATTTTACGAAGTTGTGCTTTGTTGATTCTGGTAAAGGCTCTCCGAGCGGCGCCTTGCAGCTAATGGGCATACTGGTATCGTTCATGTGACACTCTCTCCTTGATGATGATCATAATGATGATGATGATGATAACCCCACAGAACGTTATTAGGGGTGACAAGACTTTCGGACCACCCTGTAGATTAATTCTCAAAAGAAATAATATTAAAACTTAATAGTTGTAGCGATTATTTTCGACAAATCACTCAGCCCAGCATAACGGCATTATCATAGATTGATACTAAGAAAACAAATTTAGACTTCTGTTTCGTGTTTTAAGTTTCAGCAACATGAGGGGGGGGAGTTGTTGCTCCGACACAATCTCCCCTCTATAACGGAGCAGAAGTTCATGTATGAACAAGAACAATGAAAATTGTATAAGTATAAGGAATATTTTGATTGCTTCCGGTGGTGCAGTAAAAATTGCCAACAGCTTTAAAAATATCGCTGTGATATTGATATATATATATATATATATATGAGTATATAATTGGTGTATACGGAATGAATTCCAATATTTTAAAATTGGCAGACTTTAATTTTAATATCAAATTTTATCATATAATTTAATAATTATTGGTTAGAATAAATTCTTTTTTAATATTACCCGTATTTTAAAGATCTGAATAGCTATTATAACCTTACTTCGTTGTCAAGCTTTTTGAATTTTTCTATACTTGTATTTCGATTGGTCATTCTAGCTTTTGTAACAACGTTTTCCCCTTGCGAAGGACCGTTAATTAATTTGAAACTTTTAAAACCATTTATTTTACATTCAACATCATCACTTGATAAGACACCGGGGGTGTTGAAACAAAATGGCTATTTTTGTAGTGATTTTATAACATATTTCTCTTATAAATTTTAAAAAATAAATAATTCTATATATCGGAGCCGCCATGTGTATTTACAATGTCTGCTTTTAATGTGTTACTGGCCGATAGATATTCTTTAAGTCTATATAAAACATGAGGGCGGACTGACTTATGACGATGCGACAATGGTAGTCTGGCCACGTTAACTGAAACCGTTTTTTTTTTTTTTTTTTTTTTTTTTTGACAAAAAACATTTACGCCACTAAAATATAATATTACCACTTTCGTGATGAACGCTGTTATTTGAATCAACTGATTTAATATATATATATTTTTTTATCCTTCCTTAACCCCCCTCGAGGATAATATGGCCACCGCCTAAACATTTTCGGTGTTACCATTGTGGCTAATGTAGCTTTTTTTTCTTTTTTACGGGATGGAGTTGCAATCCTTAAACAAAACAAAAAAAAAAACAAAACAAATAATAATTAAAAAAAAAACAAAAAAAAAAAACTTGCTATACTATTTCAACCTTTAACCTCCGGAGTTCGACATTAACCCCTTTTGGGGACCACATGAAATTGCGCATGCATTTTGTGGAACTCTCACAATTTTGTTGCGATTAAAATTCCAACTGCAGACGTTAGAACAGCGCAGTAGAGGATAAAAAGTATGAATGCAAAAGTTATCCTGTTTGTCCACCTCCTCTTAAGACAAGAAGAAAATGAATGCTAGGGAACATTGTCTTTCAACTGACCTCATCTTAACCTGTGCTTAACGTCCCGAGGAAAGATAAATTTGGTACTTTCCACCCCAACTTCAAGATTCCTTTTCTCTCCTCTTCTTTTCTTTTTCTCTCCTCTTCTTTTCTTTTTCTCTCCTCTTCTTTTCTTTTTTCTCTCCTCTTCTTTTTTTTCTCTCTTCTTCTTCCTTTTTTCTCTCCTCCTCCTCTTCTTCTTTTTTATCTCCTCCTCTTCTTCTTTTTTATCTCCTCCTCTTCTTCTTTTTTATCTCCTCCTCTTCTTCTTTTTTATCTCCTCCTCTTCTTCTTTTTTATCTCCTCCTCTTCTTCTTTTTTATCTCCTCTTCTTCTTTTTTTTCCTCCTCCTCCTCTTCTTCTTTTTATCTCCTCCTCCTCTTCTTCTTCTTTTTCTTCTTCTTTCCTCTCCTCCTCTTCTTCTTTTTATCTCCTCCTCCTTCTTCTTTTTTTATCTCCTCCTCCTCCTCTTCTTTTTTTTATCTCCTCCTCTTCTTCTTTTTATCTCCTCCTCTTCTTCTTTTTATCTCCTCCTCTTCTTCTTTTTTCTCCTCCCTTCTTCTTTTTTCCTCCTCCTCTTCTTCTTTCTCTCCTCCTCCTCCTCTTCTTCTTTTTTTCTCCTCCTCCTCCTCTTCTCTTTTTTTATCTCTTTCTTCTTCTTTTCCTCCTCCTCTTCTTCTTTTTTATCTCCTCCTCCTCCTCTTCTTCTTTCTTTATCTCCTCCTCCTCCTCCTCTTCTTTCTTTCTCTCCTCCTCCTCCTCCTCTTCTTTCTTTCTCTCCTCCTCCTCTTCTTTCTTTCTTTTCTCCTCCTCCTCCTCTTCTTTCTTTCTTTCTCTCCTCCTCCTCCTCCTCCTCTTCTTTCTTTCTCTTCTTTCTTTCTTTCTTTCCCACCTTTTTAAAGCATTCCATTAATAGTGGCTATGGAGAGCTTCTGTTCTTTCTTGCTTGCTTGCTCGCTCAAGTTTCGATCGAGTCTGCACTCCCTCGTCATCATTCGAACATAGTGGGAATCATCGAGCGAAATAAAGGGTTCCGTTCGACATTCCAACCACCTGAAGAAGGCCGGAGCGTACAGCGGCCGAAACGGTGTGATAAATATGGCAACAAAGATGAGGATGATAGTCCGAACAATGTACGTAGAATCTAGTACTTTTAAAATCAGCATTTGAAGTCTTTTTCTTTTTGGGGGTGGTGTGGGGTGTCAGCATCAACGCCGGTGGTGGGGAAAATTAGTCGTATAGTATTCTCTTTTACTACGGTCAATTCGTTCTTTAATAGGACGTGACAAGAGAAGGCTGATTTTTGCTGCAATTGGCTGAATATAGACATGAAGATATAAACTGCTAATGGACATCAGAAAAACAGCTGGTATATAGTTACGGAGTCATCTTAGGTTCAGCTGACACAAGGATTGGGACGCTGTACGATAATTATGTCCCTACAAGATTAGCTTGTTAACCAGTACCCCCACTGCTTAAATATAGAACTACGACACACAGCAGAAGTGATATGGGAACAAAGAGAAAAGAAAATCGAAGTTACATCGACATAGATATGGAAGGAACAAGTCTTCTTCAAAAGAAAACTTCTTTGATCTAACTCGGCGTTTGTCTCGTTTTAAGGGCGGTGCCGTTGTGCTAAAAGACAAGCGACAGGGTGACGTCGGCGCAAATGGTCGTCGTTTCTTCTGAATAATTGTTCTGTCGAGCCCGCTGTCTCAGTCGCCAATTAAGATGTCGGCGACGGAAAGGCGATGCTATTAAAGACGTATCTAAATGACGTTACTTTGCTGAATCTGGAGAATGGCCGGGTGACCATAATGATAACGTTGGTGTCGGAAGGTGAGGCTTTTTTATTCTTCTTTGCAAGAATCTAAGCGCTTACAAGTGGGCGTGGCACCATAGTTAGAAATCTCTTCCCTCAAGCTAATTCGCTAAGCTAGTGTGTTCGATCAGCACTCGATGACCCCACTACTTTAACTGTGCTCCTTACAGGCGCAGCAATAATGAATTCGTGATAAACTACATCAACTCCTGATAATTATTCAGTTGTTTCGCCACAAACATATATAGTTTTTAATCATTTCACCGCCACTAAAGTAATGAAGCCACTAAGACAAAATGTTACTGAGTGTGAAAGAATAAAATAAAACAAAAACATTATGGAAAAGGAACAGTAAAAGAAGCAGAATTAAGAAGGCGGGAGATGACTACTGAAATTGCATCTAAATCCATGGCATAAGCGAGAAATGTGATAGAAGAAACTGTTAGCATAGAACTTGCGGTTCAATTTAGCTATTTCAACTGTAGAATGATGGGACCTAACCGCCAATCTAGTACTGCGCGTAAATTCATAATAAGGTCTAGGAAAGTTCATTAGGACAATTACAATGAAAGCAGTTATAGAAAAGGTACGGGGGGGGCGAGGCTACATTACGTCGGGGGGAAAGTGATTGACTCTGAGATGCTTAGTCAGGACCACATGGCAGTTTCATCTTTGGATTTTATTAATAATTTTAAAATCTTTATCAGGAGTACCAGGTCATCTGTGATAGCCATATTCAAAGCATGGACGAATGGTAGACTTATAAATATTTAAGGGTATTTCTGGAAGATAACTGTCTAAGGTAAGCCCCCCACCTACGCTGATGAGTTTATGCAGTTTATGCATAGTTTATCTTTCCTTAACGCCGTCAGATTGTCGAACATTTTAGACTGTTGACTTATTTAACATTTGAACGTTTAACTATTTTTCTTCATGTTACGTCTGTCTATAAATACAAGTTACTAAATAAAATTTCTACACTTGGTTTGGCAAAGGTTCTTCAAGGAGCTGAACCGCATTGGCATAAGGGGTTTCCTTGTTATACGATCCCCTCCCAAGTGCTTAGTCATTTTGTTAGATTTTGGTAAGTGGATGACACGGGAACACTTTAATTCGCTTTTTAAATCAGAATAAATTGGGATAGATATGTATAAGCCAGTCATGAGCAAATCTTTGGCCGCGGGCCAGATTTGGTCATTCTAAATGGCACGCTTAATTTTATAAGGAAAATAACATTTCTTAAAATGTTTCATTCTCACTTGTTCACTCACACACTCTCTCATACATGACCACATACATAAAAAAAACAAAAGATTAAGTACAATGTTTCTTGAATCTGATAAAATTTTAGGGGGAGTAACGTTGTCAGCATTTTAAATCATTGGCAATTTTCGCTAAGGATGATCATATGTGCAAACCTCTTTTGAAACCGAAACGTTCATAAGAATTGTTTTCTCTAAAAAAGAATATTTTCCTTTTCAAACGAAGAAATTAGAAATAATTCACACGCAACGAGATATTAATCACGTTGTCATCAGTGACAATATTTACCAAGGCTTAAATTTTTAAAATTATAAATTATTCTCAAAAATAAAACTTTCCTACCATTTTTAAGTTATGTGCTTACGCATGCAATGAAAATAGCCTAGGTACCTCGAAGAAACATTACCTTGCATCTTTTTAGTAGCGCAGCCCGACTTGTGATGAGCCATAGATCGAAAATGGTTGCCATGCCCGGTATAAACCTATGCAATTATAGCACATATTCATGTTTAATGAGTGGTCCCTACTTAGACAAATGTTCAGAGTCAGCTACGTCTTTTCTCGTACAATAGTGTTGCTCAATTTTCAGGAGTCAGCCACGTTTTTCTCCGATTACTTCCTCGTCTCGTCCAAAGACAAAAACAGGGCTGATATAAGCTCTGAATGGCCGAATAGAGAAGTGAAACTATAAGCTGCTCATAGACACTATAAAATATTCAACAGGGCAATTCGATGCGGTTAGCAGATTTGTCTTAATCGATCAATTACGGCAGAGTAGTGAGTTCGATCTTTACTGGGTCTTGTATACTTTCGGCCTTGTGCCACATTTAAGCTATGCTTAGAAAAAAACCGCGATAAAACCTTTGACATATCGTTACTGGGTTAATTTAGTTTCAGCTCACACAACTGTGCTTGTCAACGAATAACTCCACGGCGCGATTTATTGAATAAAGAGCTAAAACACAGAAATTCTTTTCTTGAATGTTCTCAACTAATTTTTTGTGGTGGGTAGGGGACAACTGTTTTTGGAGGGTGTTAGGCGGCGGATTTAGTGTATGTGTATATAAAGCTCTTATCTTTCATGATTTGATAATGAATTTTAGTTTACTTTCTACATTCCTAGTGACAAGGCATCATGTCTTATCTTTGCACCCATAAGTTTCATATCTGGTACCCCGTTCTACCCATCATCGTTGGTCTAGTCACTGCTTAATAGATTATCTTTATCTACAAATAGTAAGGTTATCCGATGTTGCCCGGAGTCAAAAGTGCTTCATGAGCCATAATTAATTTTTTTTTCTTCTTTTAAACCCATCAGTTCGTTCTTTCTTATATAAACAAGTTTTAAAATAAAGCGGCTAATTGAAAATCCAATAGAATAACACCGCCTAGATTATTTTTAAAAAAATGTTCTCATCTTTTAGCATGCAGCGAAAAATCCTCTTCTTGAAATCTTCCGTGTGATTGAACAAGGCCAATCGAGCATTGATAATTTTTTTTTATGCTATAATACGAATATTAATAATTTTTTTTAGATAGATTACGTTCTTTTAAGGTGCTTCACAAAGAACAGTGGTTCTCAAGCAATTTTCAAACTGCTCCCCATCCCGTCCATATCATTAGCGACCCCTTTCCACACCCATTATAAAGTACAAATATACTTCGATATGATCCCCACACCCCAACTTGCTCTAAAGAAATATATGCGCTCTCCGACATCATTCAGCGTTTCCTGATAGGCTAAGTTCTTCGTAGCTCAGTCAGTCTGGAGCACGTCGGATCTAACGACGCTTACTCCTGTTCAAGTTGACGCAGGTTCATATCCTGCCGAAAAGTACATATCTCGAATATTCAGGCCGGTAGACGAAACTAAATAAATCTACTGTTTAATAAATAAACGGAGTGTCTACTAAAAAATAACGTTTGAAGTGGCGCATATATATATATATATATATATATATATATATATATATATATATATATATATAATTTTGTATGTCTGTCTACAAAGTTTCATTAATGATAACAGACAAGCTACTGAGAATTTTTCTTGTATTTGTATAATTGTTTCTCTTCTCGAGATAGTGTGCAAAAATTATCCAAATGGTCTGCACATCCGAACGCTTTCGGCTATTCTTCTAGCTATTATTAAGGATGATTTTTTTTTTTAACCGAATGTATGGATTTTTTAGGCATGTATTTCGAGTTATACGAATGTTTTATTTCCCATACACGGTCAGCACATTGGGGCTGAGTTCATAGTTGATATAGTTTTCATTATTTTTGCGTTCATTATTTTATTTTATTTATTTATTTATTTATTTATTATTAGTTGATAAGGCTAGTTTTCTTGCATTTTCTACAAGTATGTGTCGGCTAGTTTTTCGTAGTTCGTGTTTGATGAAATGGACCCTAATTTGAGTTGTAGTCATATAAGTGCAATGTGAGTCTTCTCGATAGGCATGTAGTGGTATATCCAATATAATTATTCATGAGTTTGGCTTGATTAGGATTGCATTTCCTCACACACACATTTATATATATATATATATATATATATACACGTTTGCTCTTGCATTTACCTATATTTATCCATTTGTTTATTGATACATATATATAAACTAATGTTTATAATTTTGAATTATTTCCGCTTCTGAAATACAATTGAAAGGATAAAAAAGTTTATTTTTCCTAATCCACCTACACTTTAGCTTAATATTTTTTGTTTTGTCTTTGTTTCTTTTCAAAGCACCAATTGTCGTCTGTTACTGTCAGTCAAGGTCGGTAATGAATTAACTTTTTCCTTTCGCCGTCATTGCCGTCACACAATTAATGCCAATTAGCAATTATTAGAATATATATTTCATAATTTAATTGATTCTAGCTCTCACGAGTAATAATGTCTCCTTTTGATGGTTGGTGCTTTTAAAATGCTACTATTTTAATTCTGTGGGACTTGCACCCTTTCGTTGGCCCTGTTTTCGTGTTTTGGGAAACAAAATTGTCACGATGAAGAGGCCGTTTGTCTGAGAATGACGTTTAGTAGGCATCTTCGAGATGATCTCAAGTTTTGGTACATTTAAGCTTTTCTAAAGCAAATTACTTTCTTTAGTCTCTATCTGTCTTTTTCTCCCCCGTCTTTTACTCAATCCAACCTGTTCCCTATTTTAACCGTCTCTAATTCCTTTCTCTAACTTTCTCTATTTCACCCGTCTATAATCCCCACCCACTAAGCTTCGTTAGTTCCACTAGCTATGACCTATACATTGAGAACCCTCCACGCTACATACACAGAACTGAATTATACTCCTTCTCTTGGTTAGAAGGAAGTTCCTCTTCGTAGAACAGACTCCCAAGAGGATGCTTCCCCGACCATTAAAATCTTCATAACCTGCAATTACATCTTCAGCTTTTGCCTATAAAAACAACTAACTTAGTAACCCTCTACTCTCAGTGGATCTCGAGCCTTATGTGAGGTGAACATTTTAATAAAAACAAATGTCTACCGTATTTACATACAACAGTTTGCGACATCTGAGATTGCGAGACAAATATTTTTTTAATGTTTTTAACTGAATCTTTTAGAATGAATCTGTCATATACGATAAAGGTCAATTTTGGCAGTCCATGTTGGTATCTTTGAATTTTCCCCAAGTGGAATCTGGAGTAGGCCACTTTTTATTCTTATTTCCCAAGCATATTTCATACTGTATTTAGGATGTGTATGATATAAACTGGAAAAGTTCGATAGAAGCAAAAATAAAATAGTATTGAATTTAAATCCAGTCATCTTATATAGCATTGGATGCTTGACAATCTCTTCAAAGATGAAAAATAGACTTGAAACAACAGAAAAGTGGTTCTACAGAAGGATGCTGAGAATATCGTGAACCGAGACGTGGGCAACGACGAAATTTTACAGAAAATGGAATAAAAAAAGGGACACATATACTTAACATCAGAAAGAGACAGTTGAAATTTCTAGGGGACATATTGAGGAAAGAGGGCTTGGAAAAATTGATACTCACATGACAGGTTGAAGGCAAGTGAGTATGATGCATAACCTCCCTAGCGAGCTTGAGTAAATGGATGCCAGGACAGTGTTTAGGAGAGATAACAAAAAGGGCGCTATTTATTAAGCCTACGATAGTCACGTGGTGTCTTGTTCCCTAAATGTTTAAAGCATTCGTATTTCCTTTTGTTCCGTCCCACCAAACTCCTGACTCGGAGGGGGTTTGTAGCACGCCGTGTGGCGCTGTTGTAGCCCTGTTGTTATTGGAGGTAGGCGCCAGGGGACTTGTACATTTTCGGAAATCTGAGGTAACTAACACAGAGTTAAGAGCTACAAAAGACAGGAGGCCCTGGAGAGCTGTGATCGCCAACGTCATGAAAGGACACAGTAAATCTGGTTTTATATAAAACTGCGCAACAAAAGGTACGTGATGACTTATAAAAAGACAATATTCTTTCTCGTGACGTTCCTCCATCTTTGTTTCGATTACTACGACCGTAGGCATAAGTTATCGAATGCTACAAGTTCGCCTTAGTATTTAAGACAACCAATATACTTCTAAAATCTTGTTTTTAATTCGGACTTATGAACTCTTCTTTGTTTTGTATTATTACAACGTTTCGGCTGTTATGCCCTACGGTCTTCTTCAGGTGTCTGTTAATTCGAGTAATATATGAGAAAGTGGCTTTCAGTTAAGTGTAATACACTCGTAAAAGAGATGAATCAGTTGTGTATCTACCCGGTTAAAATATTTGGGGTGTACTGTGATTGTTAATATAATCTCTCACTCTGCCAACGAGTCTCTCTCTCTTTCTGGCCTTGAGTCTCTTCCTGTCTTTGTGTGTGTCTCTCTCTCTCCATCCCTTTCTCTGTGTGTGTGTCTCTCTCTCCATCCCTTTCTCTGTGTGTGTGTCTCTCTCTCCATCCCTTTCTCTGTGTGTGTGTGTGTGTGTCTCTCTCCATCCCTTTCTCTCTCTGTGTGTGTGTGTGTGTCTCTCTCTCCATCCCTTTCTGTGTGTGTGTGTGTGTGTCTCTCTCTCCATCCCTTTCTGTGTGTGTGTGTCTCTCTCTCTCTCCATCCCTTTCTGTGTGTGTGTGTGTCTCTCTCTCTCCATCCCTTTCTGTGTGTGTGTGTGTGTCTCTCTCTCTCTCCATCCCTTTCTGTGTGTGTGTGTCTCTCTCTCTCCATCCCTTTTGTGTGTGTGTGTCTCTCTCTCCATCCCTTTCTCTGTGTGTGTGTCTCTCTCTCCATCCCTCTCTCCATCCCTTTCTCTGTGTGTGTCTCTCTCCATCCCTTTCTGTGTGTGTGTCTCTCCATCCCTTTCTGTCTCCATCCCCATCCCTTTCTGTGTGTGTGTGTCTCTCTCTTTCTCTCTCCATCCCCTTTCTGTGTGTGTGTGTCTCTCTCTCCATCCCATCCCCTTTCTGTGTGTGTGTGTGTCTCTCTCTTTCTCCATCTCCTTTCTGTGTGTGTGTCTCTCCCTTTCTCTGTGTGTGTGTCTCCATCCCTTTCTGTGTGTGTGTCTCATCCCTTTCTCTGTGTCTCTCTCCATCCCTTTGTGTGTGTGTGTGTCTCTCCATCCCTTTTCTGTGTGTGTCTCTCCATCCCTTTCTCTGTGTGTCTCTCCATCCCTTTCTGTGTGTGTGTGTGTCTCTCTATCCCTTTCTGTGTGTGTGTGTCTCTCCATCCCTTTCTCTCTGTGTGTGTGTGTGTCTCTCCATCCCTTTCTCTGTGTGTGTGTGTGTGTCTCTCCATCCCTTTCTCTGTGTGTGTGTCTCTCCATCCCTTTCTCTGTGTGTGTGTGTGTGTCTCTCCATCCCTTTCTGTGTGTGTGTGTGTCTCTCCATCCCTTTCTCTGTGTGTGTGTGTGTGTCTCTCCATCCCTCTGTGTGTGTGTGTGTGTCTCTCCATCCCTTTTCTGTGTGTGTCTCTCCATCCCTTTCTCTGTGTGTGTCTCTCCATCCCTTTCTCTGTGTGTGTGTCTCTCCATCCCTTTCTGTGTGTGTGTCATCTCTCTCTCCATCCCTTTCTCTGTGTGTGTGTCTCTCCATCCCTTTCTCTGTGTGTGTGTCTCTCCATCCCTTTCTCTGTGTGTGTGTGTCTCTCCATCCCTTTCTCTGTGTGTGTGTGTCTCTCCATCCCTTTCTCTGTGTGTGTGTGTCCTCCATTTTCTGTGTGTGTGTGTCTCTCCATCCCTTTCTCTGTGTGTGTGTCTGTCTCTCCCATCCCTTTCCATCTGTGTGTGTCTCTCTCTCTCCATCCCCCCTGTGTGTGTGTGTGTCTCTCCTCTCCATCCCCCCTGTGTGTGTGTGTGTCTCTCTCTTCCCCCCCTCTGTGTGTGTGTCTCACCTTCTCACCCCCCCTGTGTGTGTGTGTGTGTGTGTGTGTGTGTGTGTGTGTGTGTGTGTGTGTGTATGTGTGTGTCTCTCGTTCTGTCCCTGTCTGCATGTGTCTCCCTCTGTCTGTGTGAAAGAGAGAGAGAGACAAACTCACTCTCTCATATGTGTGTGTGTGTGTATATACATTCGCACATTTAATATTTATCGGGAGTAAAAGCCAGAATTTGAGAAATCTTTCTCTATGGCTTCCGCATTTACACTGTTGACTTCCTTACTTCACGGCCGATCGAATCGAGCACACGTACACAAAAAAAGACACACCCGCATGTAGTAAGGCTGGCCGGTACGTGCGGGCAATTCTTCCCTCCGATCGCTGTAGATCCCCGGCTGCTAGCCTCGATGAGCAGGTGAACGCCATCTTCACAGTCGTGTGTGTGTGTGTGTGTGTGTGTGTGTGTGTGTGTGTGTGTAAGAAATGCCAGAAGAGATGACACGGGAGCCTGTCCCATACTTAGATTGCATACTCGTTATTTTCTAAAAACATTTCTCATTTACGTTAACATGTCCACCGTTTTTCAGTAATATAGGAACTGGGCATTTTTTTTTAAATGCGTAAACTTCACTTATATTATATATATAATCGACTCTCCCGTCGCGTTCGACGTATGAGGGTCAGGCCGATAAGTCCCCAGGAAACCGACATCCCGACACCGGCACATGAGATTTGATTATAGTGGTGAAGTCCTCGTGCAGAACCAGCCACACTTTATATATATATATATATATATATATATAATATTATAAATTAACTGATTTAAAATATGGATTCTTCGCTACACAGTAATAATCATGTTTCAAAAACTGAAGCTAAAAACTTGTTTATATATATATATGCACGCGCATGTGCCATTAACAGTGTATGTTTTAAATTAATATTCTTTTGTGATTTCTTAAGCAATTCTAAATATTATTTCATTTTAAAGGCAGTATTTTTTTCTTGTTTGTGTAAATTGAACATGCAAAACAGAAATATCTAGTCCATCTTGTTGGAGAGCAAGTGACAAAAAGTCCCCTTTAATATTCCAATGCTCTCCTCCGAAGTCTTGCCGAATTTAGTAATACTGTCTTCAGTTTTTTTTTTCATCGTTTTTGAGAATAATCACAGTGATCCAATTATCATTAGCACGACCTTCACCTTCAAGCAAGCGTGTTTTTTTTTGTTTTGTTTTTTTGTTTTTTTTTTGTTTTTGTTTTTTGTTTTATTGTTTTTTTATAATTTCTATTTTCGATGAAATTTAAGGCATGTAATATCTTTCGAATCCCCCCCCCCAAAAAAAAAACATTGATACTAATTATTTCCCCACTAGTAATCTCGCGAGATTTGATCAACGCAGGGTACGTTGACAAACAGAATGGCTACTCTGTTCTTATACCAGTCCAAATAAGTTCTTTTGTATACAAATGTTTATTTTTCATACACGGCTTCAACCCCCCCACCCAACTCTTTTGCTTAAGAATGTTAAAAAAAAAAACAACAACAAACAAACAAAAGACAATGTTTCGCATACAATTACAAGAGACTTATTGAAAAAAGCGTGTCTACTGAGTAGTGTCGTATATAGAAGACTTGTTGTCACTTTATCCTCAATGTAAAACACCAGTTCCAATGACTGGAAGCAGTCAACGTGATGTTGATGATAGTAAGAATAATAATGTAGGGTACATAACTGAAGTAGCTCCTGTAGTAACGTGGGCACTTGGAACATCCCCACACCACCCTTAGAAAACTTGGTCGAGCGCTTAGCGAAAACTGGAATTAAGGCTAAGGTTATGGATCTGCCATTGTTTTCATTCTAGGAGAATTCTTTGACAAGTTCTGAAGGGTTTGTTGATACGATGTTCCCCGAACAACATCAATGTTGTTGTTTTATTATTATTATTATTATTATTATTATTATTATTATTATTATCATAATAATAAACAAAAACAAAAAAAAATCACTTCCAGAGGTGTAGGATTTCAGAAAGAAAATAAAAAAGTACAGTGTTTGACAAGGTTTCGACAGTATGCCTGTCTTTAAATTCAAGGGAAAAACTGTACTTAGACGACGCATTAAAGTAATGTGACATTGCCTTGATAAACATCCCTCAGACGACGCAACGCGTCGGCTAAATATAGTTTTTCCTCTTGTCCCTTATATATATATATATATCTATATCAGATATATATATATATATATATATATATATATATATATATATATATATAACTAATTATCTCAATTGATAATTAGTAGGGATAATTCCCAGAAGGATATTAATTCAAAGAGAGCTCAATGTAAGAACAGACCAATATAAAAGAAAAAAATCATTTCTAGGTCACCCTATTCGCCATTGCTTAATTCTTCCTTCTTTCCTTTCTTTCCCTCTCCACTCTGTCTCTTTTTCTCTTTTACCTTACAACCAAATGGATTCTTAGGATATATATATATATATATATATATATATATATATATATATATATATATATATAATATGAAATCCTGACTTGGCATCTAATCACTTTCTCATGGACGTCTTTTCTACAAATATTTTCATGGCATTTGCTCTGACAAGCATTTTTCCTTGTGCCTCGACTATATGAATTTAAGCGTGTTACTAGATTGGCAATTAGGTCCCACACTTTTAATGTTGAGAGTTAAATGTAACCGCCACTTCTACTCCAACAGTTTCTTCTCTCATTTCCCACCTGTGGAATTCCCTTCCGTTTACTTGATTCCCTGAAAACTACAATCTTCAAAAATTTAAATGCGACGTCAATCGCAATCTATCTTCAGGAATCCTGTTCGTCTTTCATCCTTTTCTCACTCCCTTTATAACCCAATCTTTTCTCTCACTCACTCTCTGTAAACCCCTACGTATTAGTAGCATTTTAGCTTTGCTTATGGTGAAATGATTAAAAAAAATGTAAGTATAAAAACAAGTCTTTGCATAAACGTCGCTTGTCTTGAAGAAAAAAAAAACACAAACAAAAACGCTTGTGTTCGTAATCAATGCGATAAAGTGACTGAAACGCAACCATTGTGAATGGAATGCAAATAAAACGAGTGTAACACAATAGGGTGTGTGGTCATGAAATTTTCTGTCAGTTGATTACTTAGCGCGATTAAAC